TTGAATAAGTTTTAGTGGGGGGGCGAAAAATGTCGTTTTTGCATACGGCTCTTTGTTTCGCAATGTATCCAGAGATATTATAAAGACTATTCTCTTCTGAAATGTCTAATTTTCAGTCATTGCGCAGCTTTTTTGAAATCCACTCCCGCGCCCGGCCATAACTCGCAGCACTCAATGATGCAGCACTAACAAAGATGTCTGAAGTTTTAAACCTGCTCGCCTATTCAAGGTAATTTGCCATACCTAGGTGAGTAATTAGTTGACCGCGGAATCTATACTTATTAATGTTTTTCTAAAATGTTAGCTTTTTCCAGCTAAACTTGGTCATTATAATGATTCACATTTCAAGACTCAGAACAGACAATTCCTACTGTTGTATAGTTGGAGTATGATGAAAAAAAAGAGTCGCAATGAATTATAAAGATACATCCAAACAGTTTTTCCAACTTCAAAGGAAAACTCATACACAAGGTGTTTGTGTAGTTTTATTTTCTGCAAGAATACTGAGAATTAGTAAATATTTAAATTACATAAGGACTCATTTGACTTGGGTAGTTATGTCATTGAGAATATTGCTGAAAGTAATATTTTAAGTAAAATAAGATTTTCATGATGAATTGTACGATATCTTTGACTTCACTTTTGAAATGGTGTCCCCACCCTCCCCTATTATGTAGTTGTTGTGGAAGGTATTAGTTAATTTAAATTTTACACCAAAATATTTGATTTTGAAGCAACTTCAGTAGGTCAGGGCTAAAAAAAGTAACACTCTAATAAAATTGTTAACATGAGGTAATCTACGGTGAGTATCTTCATCATATATATTCCATTATTATACAGTCTTAAGGAGGCGATAGAATAGGGGGTCAATTAGCGAGTACTTACATGACATAGCACACAGGCAATGAATTATTGCTTCCAGGATGCAACATTTGAGCCGGGTTGGACAGAAATGCTTGTACTTTTTGCCATATTTGCATTTTATGTCCTTCAATAATTTTGCTATGGTGATGGAAGAACTGCTCCTACTAGTAGAAAGTAAATGGTTCTTCACTGACTTCTGCTGAGGAGGTGAATTTTTCTTATTCTTGAGAGGGCTGCTGCCAGGCAGTGTCTCCATTTCCGGGGGGCTGTTTGGAGTTATGTCAATAAAAGAAGCAAGGTCGGGGTTACTAGGCTGACTGGCAGAACAATTTTGCGATTTACTGTCACTGGTTTCACTAGACTGATTGGTGACAGATTTATTGAGGTTGCATGAAGATTTGATTGTTTTGGGATTGTCACCAGTTCCACGTGATTGATGAGCAACAAATTGATTTATTTGTTTAGGCGATTGTATTGTAGGTTGGCAAATAACGGAATTGTCACCAGTTCCACTTGATTGATGAGCAACAAATTGATTTATTTTTTTAGGCGATTGTACTGTAGGTTGGCAAATATCGGAAGTTTTCAGTGACAAGTTACTGAAAAATTGGTTCAGCTTACTTGAAGGTACCTTGGTAATGTTAGAGGTTTTGGGACTACTTTTCACACATCCGTGCAGATTGGATTTATCGGAGGTTTTGGGTTTAATAAATTTACTAAGTTTGGTCAAATTACTGGAGCAGTGGCGTGCGGTGGGTTTAGTGACAGGGCAAGCTCTAGCGTTCGCCATCCAAGGGGGGGGGGGGTTAACGTAGCCTCTTTCCCCTCCTCAGGGAGCCTCCCTAGAAAATTCTTAAAATTTTACTCTATTTGCTCTGTTTTGCGGATGAAATCTGATGGAACGTCTTGAAAAACTGTGGTTTCATTTCTTTCTCTCTTACTTATGATTTCGTTTACTCAACTTGTTTCGAATGTTATTGAGCATTGGAGGATGGCTCCATGCTCTTAAATCCTAATTTTGCCATGCCACTTATTTGAGGTATCATAGTCTTCGTTCTATGGCATTTAGAATTTTTTGAGTTACTTAAAATTCCCCCCAAAAACAGCTTTCTGCGTTTAAAACATGATTGTGAATTGTCTAATTCATCACCAATAGATCCAAGTGAGCGACATTTTATAGAATTTAAGGGCATTTGCTCCGGAGGAGCAATTACAACCGCGACGGAAAGAGGGACAAGATAGCGCATCGGAGGCAGAAGCAGCGCGCTGCGGGTGAGACGGGCCAAGAGATGGCCAAGAGAAGCGAGCTGCGATCGCGCAGCGAAGGGCTCGGACTCGGAACGTACCGCTCTCACCCGCCGCCTTGATTCCGCCGCGAGCAGTGGCGCTCCGCTCAGCTGATCGCAAGCGACTCTCCAGCGCATGAGTTGGCCCGTGTTCAGGCCGCGCAGCGCGCTGCGCCACCTCCATCCTCTCTGCCGCTTTCCTACTTTCGTGGCTCTATACGTATTTTTGTCTCTTCCTCTTTCTGTTTTTAATGCAATTTACTTACTGAACACCTTATAAATTATATTTGCTAAAATTTAAAACATGTAAAAGGTGTAATTTTCTTCTTTCTCTTGAAATCTTTGGGCAAGCAGTGCTTGCCTTGCTTATCCGGACCGCACGCCACTGTACTGGAGCCCTTGGAAGTCTTGGTAGATTTTACTACAGAGTTAGAGCGCTTAACGGTTTTGGTTGTCAAAGAGAGATTTGAAGCCCCAGTAGGTATTGAGGGGGGTGGTTTGTTTTTTGTTTTCATTAATTGATTAGATACGAACTCATGTACTTCAGACTGTTCGAATGCTCCCTTTTTAGTAGGGGCTACTTCTGCCTCTTCTTCGTCACTTGAGATGATTTTTCTCTTCTTCTGCCGTTTACCTCGTCCTCTGTCTTCGGCCTCAGATGCTGACTTAGATATTTGCCCTTTTGTTAAGCGGAAGGCAGTTTCGTAGGCTAATTCAAAAGTTTCTGAAACAAAAAAAGTCAAATAATAGTAACTCATGGCTTAAGAATTTAATTTTAACATTTTTACAAGATCAAATTTAAGGAGAGAAAAAATTAACGAGACAAAAATTAGTAGAAAAGAAGGAAACAGAAGATTTAGAGGAGAACCAGCTGTGTCAAATCATGGATCAGCTATTCTTTTTAACCAACGATATTAAAGAAAAAAATTTAAAAAACTAGTTTTTATCAGTCCAAAATTAATTTTACATTTTTTAACAGAATTCTGCTACTGTTGAGTGATTATGAACATGATACTTTTGTTGAGATAAATGAAATGAGTGTTCTCCGTATTTCTTTTTTTTTTTTCATAGATATTCAGTATCCACTCTAAATAAAGATATAAGTGTTCTAAAAGAGGAAAGAAAACGAATTTTGGCAGCTTATAACTTACCATACCACTTATTTTTGTACCATTTCACCTCGTTCAATTCAAATGCTGAATTCTTCGGAATATCATCCCCATTGGTAGCCATTTGTAGGGTTTTGGATTTGTTTTCTATGGGGTACATTGCTTGAATCGCGTTTGCACAGAGCCATGACTTGGGTATGGCATCATACTCTTCTCTGGTAGAATTGTAGACTACAGCCCACAATTTCATATCCATTTCTTATTGGCTGTAAAAAAACCAAAACCAAAAAAAAAATATAATGATTTGCTTGGGTTTTGAAGTTTTAAGATTTTATCCTGTCTAAACTTTGTATGAAAATAAAGTTTTTCAACCTACTCCCACATCTCTGACTAAAAATATTTTTCTCGAGTTTTAATTTATGGCATGGGAGAATATGGGAATGAATAATTAATCTCAAATCAAAAGGAGAAATAATTTAATTCATTTTCCACCCAAATGTTGCTTTAGTAAGCTTAATGACTCTTCTCTGCTTACTCGGCCCGAATATTAGTCTACTTATGCCTGATACGACCCTGTCCAAATCAATTGAATTCTTAATCGTAAACAACTTAAGACACAGTTTCTAGTTTAAAGATTCATGGTGAATTGCTATTAAATAAAAAATGAAACTACTGCAGTTTTGTTTCTTATGATTAGACTGAGTTGCACACGATTGATTAGAATGAATGTTGAAATCATGGGTGCCATTTATGGATGGTGTGGGAAAAGACGAAGTCTTCTACTTACTACAAATTGGCCCTAAATGCAGGTATTTTGGATCCATTTTGATGGTTTAACGGGAATGGAGATTTCTTAAGACTCTCCAAGCAAATTTTGCCTTCTCTCAACTTCTGCCCCCCTCCCCTCCCCTACGATTTACCTGAAATGATATGGTGCCCCTGGTGGAAATATTGGAGAAACCAAGAGTCAGGTCATTGCAAAAAGTAACCAGACTAATATAAACTAATTGTAAATGCAAAATTAACTCCACAATAGTACTTGGAAAAAAAAACAAAAAAAATACCAGCACTTCAACGTTGATTTATGGTTAGCCAAGAATCCCTTGCAAGTCTAAGCCAAAGTCAGATCCGGAAATGCATACAAATAATTCTGCTTCCCTTAAGTATTAGTGGGTATTGATGTACCGAGACCAAGATTAAAGAAAAAATGTAAATGAGAATGAAGTAGAGATGAGGAGTGATATACATTATGATGATTATGAGGTGCTCAATTGGTTAACTTTCATTGCAAACAGGAAAAGAGAAGCCTCTTTCAAAATTAGAGATAGTGATACGGGTAATGAGTGCACCGATAAATTTAGTGCAGACTATTCAAGGTTATTTGAAGCCTTAAATGAGTAAACAGCGGATGTCGCGTTTCTAAGTTTTAAGAAAATTATGTTTTAAAGTTTTCAAAGCTGTGCGTTTTTGCAGCAAATTGAGTTCGGTCAAGAAATTCAGATTTGAAGCAAATGTCAACTATGGTTGGCCGTCCGTGTCTTTAATACAAAATTACCCCGAGGAATATTTTTTCCCGTGTGGGATTTTTTTCCTCTTCTGAGGGATTTTTTTCGTACGTGAGTTATTTTTTTTTTGAGTGAGTGATATTTTTCTCGCCTTGTTGCAAAACTTACAAAATAATTAATTTATTTTTTTGACTCATTTGGTTGCATGCATTTATCTATGTTGCCAAATTTTAAAAAAGCATTCTTATGCACCAGATTTCACTACTTTCGATTTTCGAGCATGAACATAATCGAGAGTCGACTGCCGAACCCAGTTTCCATTCAATCCATGTATCGCCGTAGCGCGAGTGAATGTGATATGATTAGTTGTGCAGTGTGTGCAGGTGCAAGTGCAATGAATTTCCAAGTCCAAGTACCTTAAGACTTTTCATTTAGATAAACCTCTTTTTACGTGTATCTTCACCTACAAACATCTCAGCAATGCGCTTCTGCTCGAATTACTGTTGCTGTTGATACGTCAGCTTAAATTTTTGTTCGTCTCTCATTGCTTGTGTGTGAGGGAACTCATTGCAAGACTTAATTAACGAAGGTAAGTTCAAAATTACAGTTTAAAATGCCACAGACTTTATTGGCCAGCAGCTGATAAAGCAATTTTCTGCAGCCCAGCCCAGTCCAGTCCACTGAATCGACTTCTCATCCACCCAATCCATTTTTACTTGATCAGCTTCCTATCTGCATAATTCTACTTTTTGTCCACGCTAATCGACCTTGTGTAAACTCAGTCAACCTCCTACATTCATTTATCTTCAGTTCAATGAATTAGAAGTTGGTTGGATGGACTGGACGTTGTAAAATTTCATTAATCAGCCCACTCGGCGCCCACCTCAAAATTATGACTCTGTTAGCATGCTCCCTTAATTTTCACAGTAGTGATGTTCTCCAAGTTAAAGGCAAGGGCATGAGGCCATTGTCACCTCCCTAGCGAAGGATGCACCAATTACTTACAGTGTTTTAATTGATGTGATTTACAAAGAAAAAGATCAGGTATGTTTATTTACTGTGGCGGCGTCAACATGCATGGAATGCTCATTCAATCATGATTGAAAGAAAGAAGTTAGGACTGGTTTGTAATATTGAGGACACATTATTGTGTATTACGCAGTACAAATTTTGCAGAATCCTTATCATTACGTCATTTACATGGCTCCCTACGGTGATCAAGATACTCTGTTCCCTCGCTCAACCACAGTGGAATGCATATAGATACTGAAATTAAAAGTTTGAATGAGCATAGGTACCTAATGACCTAAGCAGATTGGATTCTAGATACGAAACAATGTCAAACATCAAATCAACTACTGTCGGTTTCATCTATGTGAAGTTCATGATCATCCGTAGTAATTTTAAAAATTGGAGATAATTGTTGAATGCTATAATCATGCAGTGCCCAACGACAATTTGAGATTTCTGCAAGATCTGCTGTTCCTTGATATAATGGAGGAACAGATTTCAAAAATACTGTACCTGAACCTATAATTTCTTTAAGGTGCCTTCACTGAAATATCGGATACAGGGGCTGAGACCCAAATTCATGAAACTATGAATCCACAATTTAGAGTCCTGGAAGATACTTCATCTTATTGGAATGCATGAAATTAGAAGACCTAAGTAAATGTAGCCTGAAAATTTCGTATTGCATAGCTCAAAATTTTTTTTTTTTCAGCCGTCATTACATGTTTTCATCCTGACCAAAGTTTCCTTTGCTTACAACCAAAGTTGGAGATCTAATGGATGCTGAGGTAATCAATGGTAAGTTTCGAATGAAATGGCTTTAGTAAGATTCACTTCATGCATACCTATTTTTGTTGTAACAAAGCCAGGAGCCCATCAAGACTGCTTGCCAGATGTACCTCCACAGCACAAAGCATTCATTTCTTTAATGACATGTCACTTGAATTTTTTGAGAGGGAAAGCATGCATTCTCCACGCACATTACAGTTTACGCTCGATAATTCCAAATTAAAGGTAACGAGGATTTTTTGCAAATTGCCCAGGTTCCGAATTCAGGAAGCAGTTCAAACACAGCAGCATCCCCTGCCTGGAACAATTTTTTACCACAGGATATTCGATATTATATTGGAGCTGGTTTGCGTGAATCTACTCCATGACGTTTGTAGATTGTCTGCCTATGCCTGATGAAGCAGTACTAAACTGATAGACCAGACTAGCAACTAGAATATCTGATGTATCAAAGCATCTCTTACATGAAGCCAAATTTTTGTCTTGTGGCTGATTGAAATAGTTTTTATTAAAAGCGTGAAATTCTTTTTTCTTTCGCCAATTCAAAAGTAATGTCCTTCATTGCTTTCTCTTAATGATTTTTTCCAGGTCAGTGCCGAGAGCTTGCCATCAGAATAATCTCCAAGTTAGACCTAGGAGCTCAGTTTGCAAGGCAGGATGACCGTGCAGCATTGTCTGCATGTCTTCAGTCGTTAAATGAGCGAGGAGAGGAGCTACAAAGCGTTATATCAAATTTACCTGAGACTGAACTGAAGGAATCTTTAATTCAGCTATATGAGTACCTGCTGGAGTTTGTCGTATTCTATGAAGAAACTGTCCCTGTAGAAACTGATACTCCACAACTGCAGGGAAGTGTATCAGTCACCAGAAATGGCATGTGCGGAAGGCCAAGCATCACACTTGACAACGAGCTGATCAATTACTACATCCAAAATGGTAAGTTTCGTGACTAAATTTCAGAATCAAGAGTGCCAGAGTGTGGTGTTAACAGGTTAATAAAATTGCCAAATTTTTCTCTACCATATAAGTTCCACATAGGTATACTTTTGTTTCGAGGATCGTCATCTATAAGCCTCTGAAATGTCTTTTCACCTATTTTTGACAAGAATGCATACTATTATTCCAGAGAGTATTTTTTATACTCGCAGTGTTTCTATTTTCTCTGAAAGTTAAGTACGTCCAATGGGTTCTCAAGATATTTGCATACCTGGCACACACAAATCGCTTTCAATTTTATGATGACACGCAACGGTTTATTATATTATGTACTTATGCATTAAGGTAAAAAAAATCCACGCTTTTTAACTGTTCAGTCAAAGTTCACGTCTACATGAACGGCTTAAATTTTGGTTTGTCATAACTCAGAATTTCTGAGACCAATTATTTTATTCTTGGTTTTACTCTCTATCCATTGTCATGTATAATGATAGTGGATAGACTTTTTTTCAAGCTTTTTTTTGTTCTCGCAAGACGGTATTTCTTCCTTATGGGAAAATGTTTTATATTCCTCACTAATTTCAAAATGAGCCAACAAAAAAGTTCTTTTCTGTTTGTAATTACCTCTCAGTAGGCCCTCCCATTTCTCATGTTTGCCGCTAGAATATTTAATTTTTGTGAGATTGGGAATTTTTTTCACTCCTAGTATTAAGGTTAAAATGTAAATGACTAAATCAAAAATGTTGAAAACTATTTAATAATTGCAGGTGTTTCCAAGCAAAAAATAGCCGATTCATTTGGGATTTCACGGAGTACGCTGCAACGTAAAATTGGCCCCAGAAATATTCCCACTTTAAGTGATGAAGACCTCCAAAACATGATTGTAAGGATGAAAGATGAAGATCCACATTGCGGCCAGCCCTACATCTCAGGTGAAATAAGGGCTCTAGGGTTTTATGTCCCCCGCAGTAGGGTTCGGAAACAATTGAGAATCGTTGATCCAGTTGGAACTGTTCGGAGACGAAGAGTTATCACAAGAAGGAGGCGATATCGGGTGAAAGGACCTAATTACATCTGGTTAGTATCTATATTTTTATTTTTGCCCCTTGTAATTTTTAAAACTGCTAAAACCCAACAAATTTAAAGGGGTAAAGAATCCGGCCAAGGTCTTAAACTTAGGGAACCAAATTTTCTTGTTATCTCGAACAGGAACGGAACCATTATACTTCACTGCAAATCGCTTGTAGGCCCCTTCATCAATGAGTAATGCAACAGTCGTGACTTGTGTGTATATGTGAAGCCCTTGCAGGATGCAGGGTACCTAAGTATTTGCATTTTTTATTGAAACTAAAAAGAAAAAGGTATGGGTTTTCCTGAGCCTTTTATGTGCTCCAAAACAATATGAAATATGTTATCGCACCAAGTCCATCATTTTTCGATTCAAGTCGTACATATGCTTTTTAAACAGTAGGAATTAAATTCTCGACGGCTGGCTGAAGTCCAGTATTTATCTTCAGAATAGTCTCCTTCATTAATGAGTGATGCAACAAGCGCGACATTTGTCTGTGCTTAGCTCTTGCAGAAGCCTTTTTCTTTACCTTTGCCAAATTTTGAAGAATCACTGACGTGTCCACCACAATGCTATGGTCTACAATGAGAACTCTTTGTTCAATGCACTTTTTCCCTAAACCCCCATTTGTTGGAGTTACGGGGCATTTTTGGAGGCAAGGAACCCCACACATTCCTTATGGGGAATGGCTCTCGGTAAAAGCTGATGTAACTTGGATATGTTGCTTAGCTAGTCATTCTGATCAAAAGCTCTCATGGGCCGAAAGAGACCCCACGAGCGGTTTTCAGCTATTCGCCGTTTTATGTTCGTAAATTGAGGGTTTGCTGGCCGGACAATTGTGGGGTATTTCTCGTGCCCTTCCCTTTTAGTCCACTCCGGCCGCTCTCCACTTCCCCACCACCCAGGAGGCCCAGACTCCGACGCTCACGAGGCTTTGCTCATCGTAACCCGGCCAGAGGGTGTTATCTGGGTGGTGATAAGACTTCCAGTCCGAGCCTCGGGTACGGGCGGCAGGGAAGCGGAGAGCGGCCGGAGTGGACTAGAAGGGAAGGGCACGCACGAGAAGTACCGCACAATAGTCCGGCCAACGCAACTTCAATTTACGCACATAAAACGGCGAATATCTCGAAAACCGCTCGTGGGATCCCTTTCGGCCCATGAGAGCTTTTGATCAGAATGACTAGCTGAGTAACAAATCCAAGTCTCATCAGATTTTACTGAGAGCCATTTCCCATAAGGAATGTGCGGGGTTCTTTCAATTAAACACTGAAGGCGTTGAAATTATCTGATTTCCAAAATCTATAATTTCCCTTGAAGAAGAGATCAAGACCTTTCTGTTGATGTGGCACATGACCCCTGTTGGCCCCATATTGTGGGGCCCACGACCGCAAAAATTTTGGGGCTTAGGAGGGCCATAACCAAAAATTTCCAATGCAGGGTGTCTGCAGGTCTGGAAAACCGGGAAAAATCAGGGAATTTGATCACTGTCTGGAAAACCGGGAAAAGTCAGGGAATTCGATCGAAAACCGGTGAAAGTCAGGGAATTTTCGCAATTCGAACATTTCGCGGCTATTTTTGCTCGTCACTGCCGAATTGGCCGAGTAGCGCGTTCGCGTGGCTGATAATATAAACTGCTCTGTTCAACCAGTTTGCAACACGGCCAACAATACGTTGATATAAGGAATGGACTCTATTGAATTAATGGACCTTTAAAAAAAAAAAAATATCCCGAAGCAAGCAAATTTACCTAAAATCGAGAAGAGACTCGTATTTCAGGGCATTAAGTAATATGCCAATATTTATGAAATTACCAGGATGAACTATAGTTTGAATTTTCAAAAGTATACGGGGCGATATGTCACAAAGAGACCGTAGTAGAGCTTAAAAATTAAATTTTGAAGGTGAATTTTGCTCTGAGTATACCATTTTGGAATTAGCTTTATTTTGAGTATTTAGGATCTCGTTCCTTTCAAAAGTATTACTCAACTCCTTCCAACGCTATGGTAATTCAGAATATGACTTTACGGGGTCATTCCTAAGGATAGTTTTTTTTTAATATTTTCTAACTAGCTCATCGTAAGGCTAAACCCAAAAAGTCAGGGAATTTTGTCATTTTTTGTCATTTTTTGTCATGGAAAACCTGGAATTGTCAGGGAATTTCATTTTGAAAATTTTGTAGACACCCTGCAATGGTAAGGGTATGCTTTGACTTCAGATTTTGATTGTATGCGACAAGTTACATAGAATTGATATGGCATGTGGCCTTCTTGCCCCAAATTATCTTACAATCCCATCGCTCTTTAAGGAGCCGTTTATCTTTGGAGAAAAAAAAGGCGGAAAAAATGAGGCAATTAGGCCATATGCTGTATCATTTCTACTTAACTTTTCCCATGAAATCAAAACATACCCTTACCATCGGAACTTTTTGACTTCCCAAGTCCCAAAGTCGTGCGGGCCATGGACTCACAATTTTGGATCAACGGGTCATTTGCCACATCAAGAGAAAGGCCTTAATTTCTTCTTCCAGAGAAATATCAGATTTTGGAAATTGGATAATTTTAACGCTTTCAGTGTCCAATTGAAATTTCCCCCAAAACTGCCCTGTAACTCCAACAAATGGGGGTCTAGGGAAAAAATGCATCGAACAGAAAGTTCTCATTTTTGACCATAGAATTCGAATCTGAAGTCAAAACATGCCCTTCCCATTTGAAGTATGCAAGAAACGGGGGGTACCTCCCTTAACCACCCCCCGGGGGTTTTGGAAGACTGTAAATATTTTCATTAAATTTTACCACCAAACAGTTTACGTTCCGACGCTCAATATTCGGCCATTTCCGAGAAAAAGATAGTGGATGGATGCTCTGGAACACCCGGTATTTGTATTAGATAAACGATCTAGTGAGGACCTCTATAATTTAATACCTTGCATCTACTTGTGCTTGTCATGCCTCCTTTATAACAAATATATCATTCCTAATATTAATTACAAAAATAATTTCCCATCAAATTTGCTTTTTACAGGAATATGGATGCAAATGAGAAGTTGCAACCCTTTGCTATGTACATCCATGGTGCTGTTGATGGTTACAGCCGTAAGGTTATGTATTTGA